GTTGCTTATTGCCATGGCAACACTAATCAATCATCGAGCTAAAAATAGGCCTTTCCTTTTTCAAGAGGTTATCTGTAGTGAATTGAAAATGCAACTGTGGTCTGTGTTTTCCATACGCTGCCTGCGTTTTGCTTTATTTTAATCTGGAAATACCCATGCTTGTGTGTGGTAATTACTATTCCAGACTCTGGTTATTTCACTGGTTACTCTCTGGAGCTTTCAACCTCCCTGGTTCTTCCAAAAAGGCTGCCAAATATAGAAAGTTTAAAACAAACAAACAAACACCCCAGAATATTCTCCTTATTTGAGTGTCTTAGATGTGCCGGATTATAACAAATTTTTAAGGCGTTTATAACACATCTAAAAAATCTGCAGGTGACAATATAAGATGCCTCCTTGGAGCTTTACACAAAGAAACCTTGAAGACACTACCACTCTGAAGACTTTGTCCTATTATGTAGCATTTAAGTCTAATTTAAAGTTAAAGATTCGATTTGCCACTGGTTTTTCAGAAAGGAACCTTGCAAGCTGTAGGATAGTGAAATGGAAAATTGGAAGCAGTGCCCTGTGCATTCCTGTGTGTGCTCAGTGTATCGATCGGCTGCCAGGTTTGCGCTGGAGGAACACACACCCTGGGGGAGGCAGAGCAGAAAGGGAGTGGTGCTTTGAAAAAAAAAAAAAAAAATCTACCAAGAGGTTTATTACCTAGCGTTCACTCCCAAGTTTGAGTCTGACTGTTGCATAACACTTTTAATCCCTGGCTAAGTAAATACACAGCCACTTAAGGAGGGAGGAAAAAAACCCAACAACTTTTTCATGATGAATAATAGTCTTTTGAATGATGCATAAACAGTTTTCTGGTTCTGCCAGATCCCTCTGCCAATTAGTCAGAGTGCAGCTGATGAATCATGAGACACATTCTGTGAAATGTTCAAAAATTTGGACCCTGCTAAGTGTTCCTGAAAGCCAGAGAGACCCCCCACAGCTGCTAAGGCAGTGGTTGCCAGTCAGTGGAGTTTCTGAGATATATATTTGCCACGGAGTACTTGTTGGTGGATTTTAGTTTTCATTTGGGGTAAATTCATGTCACTATTTATAATCTCAAATTAGATTGTTATAGTCCTCGCCTTTACACTAAATACACAGGAAGATTGACTTTTGATAGCTTCGTGCAGAAAATGACTTTCTGCTCTCTAATGAGGTGGCTTGAGGTAAATGGCACTTGTAATTCTTCTTGTATAATACTCCCAAGATCCTTCATGTTTTCTTATTGCTTCTTTTTTGTTTTGTTTTGTTTTTTTAAATATGAGACTAGAAGATCTCTCTTTTTTTTAACTCGAGTTTAGATTCTGGGTCACAGGAAACAGCAACTAGATTCAAGCAGTGGCTTGCTGAGCTGCTACAGGCAGCGTAACGCAGCCGTAGGTTCAGCATGTGAAATGGCTGCATTTCAAAGTGTCGTGATCTGACTCACTGCTGGTAAACTCTAGACAGTGGTAGAAATCAGTAGATATTTTCTGATAGCAAGGTAGAAGGGAAATCTGGCATTTGGCTTTATTCAAAATTTCCTTTAAAGCTGTAGCTATGCTTCAAATCAACAGCACAAAGTTTTTTCCTATTTTGCAATTTTATTCTCCACACTGTGACCTAAAAGCGATTCTTTCGATAAAGAAAAATGTTTTTGAGTATTGAAAAATGTACTCCATCCAACAACTGCTAAATTTCTATACTTAGATCATAAGCAAAGGTACTTTAATTGGAAGCAGGGATAAGGAGCTGCTTTGGTAAGGGTGTTAGCCTTGTGTTAGCTGTGAGTGGGAAAGGTGCTATATGGAAGTTCCTTCTGTCCATGGAGTTTTCTGACAATGGGGCTGTGAGAGCAGCACCAAGTCCTGTGGTGGATCCTGCTGCTTCTTAAAAGAGCTGCGAGGGCTGCACTGCTCAGAGCCGTTAAGGTCAGCATTGTCAGAGCAGTTTCCATAGCCACTGAGGTTTCTGACAAACCACCAGACTCAGACTGTACAGCTTAAAAGTTTGTAAGCTCACGAAGCTCTGACCTAGGTACTCAGTCTGCTCAAGCATTATAGACCTGGTGACCACATCACTGATGTCATTCTGTTTTCTGTTTTTGTCAATTACTAGATTTTATTTAGAGGGTGTTAATTTTGTTTAATTGTGAAGCAAAAAGAATTACAGTTTGGTCCTCAGATCAGATACTCCACACAGACTGACTTGTAAGTAAAACATGTCCCAGAGCAGTAACCTTGAAATATGCAGACACAATGCTAGTAAACTGTGTTTTCCTAGTAACTGTTCTAAACAATTAGTGTATTGTAAATAGGATGGCATACATCTCTACCGTTTTTACTGAAAATGTATCTAAAAGCTGTTGTTCAGACCTAAGCACTGGGTCCTCAGTAGTGCAGCACCGGTTCTGCGTTCAGTAAGCAGTGCTAGGAACTGCTGATAGCACACAACGTTCACTGGCAGGCTCCGCTCGTTTCCTCAAGGATGCTTTCCCACAGGACGCCCATAGGCAGAGGTCTGGGTTGTGGTCAGCCAGAGCTCAGTTCACCTGGACAGTGACCCCTGTAGCTACACATCTTTGTAAAATACCAGGCTGCCATATGACATTTTTGAGGTCAATAACCCATGGTTTTTACCACCCTAGCACCAATGTAGTTACCTTCCAAATGCTCTAAAAACTATCCAGTAGGAGATGTCTGTTGTTACGTTATACAATTTTTTTTTAAATCTGCTTTTCATGATTCAAATCCAGTAGTAATTTACTTTTCCACCCTCCATGTTCTCCTGCAAAACCAGAAAACAACTAGAATGTTGGTTTATGCAGTTTGAATGCGAATCCTCTGAGTGACATCAAACGTTGTTGGAGGATATGCAGCCATCCATGTGTCTCCTGGGTCATTCCCTGGTTTTTGTAACATCGCATTTATAACTTTCTTACTCTAGGAACATTTGATTGTAGAATTCTTTTAGTTGACCCTTTAAATTCATCTCTTCTTCCAGCTCACATTAATATAGTTCAAGAATGTTCATTCCACTTTTTGGTTAATTTTGGAGATAAGAATTAGAACATTATGACAAACCTGGGCTTTTTTTTGGTTTTGTTTTTAATCTTCTTTCCCTGTAGTGCCTACTGTTTGCTAAGGCTTTTGTTTGCAGATGCCTTTGGATGTCTGCCAGAATAGGAGCAACATGCTGAGATACATGGTGAAACCTCAGTTGGGAGAATATCTGGATTTTTTTGTGTGTTGTGTTACAAGATCCCCAGTTCTAACAGAATTCTTATAAATATTGTATATTCTCAGCCGGCACTTCCTGAGATGTATGCATAGGAAATGTTTAATTGCCCACAAAGCTGGGTAATAGGAGTTAGCAGATCTGTCATTGAACTTGCCCCATCCTGCACTCCACATACTGCTGATTTTTTTTTTCCTCCCACATATTCACTCAATGAACACGTTGCATAGCTGAGAGCTAGTCACAGCTCAGATTGGACTGAAACTCATAAATGTGCTACTCCACTGAAATCTCTAATAAAAGGCAAAACATTTATTAGATCTGAAGAGAAGCCTGTGCAGTCTGGGCATCTGCAGCACCAGCACGTTACATGGGAGTATTTCACCGTGTTCATTGGAAGCCAGTTTGACCAGAACCCTTCCATGGCACCAGAACCTTACTCTGGCAAACCTCTCACTTGTTTTTCAACAAGGGTTGATTCTAGATGTGCTCATTGAATACTAGATATCCTGTGACTAGAAGATTAAACAGTGGCTTGTTGGGTGATGTCCATGGGATCAGGCATATATTTTCTGCCGTCTCAAAGGAGCTGGCTGCTCATGCCAGTTTGGTTGCCCTACAGCTGACCTTCTGCATCACCTCTTTTCTTAGTCATCAGCCTCTCCCTTAGAAGAGCTCTCCGAATTTTATCAAGTCCGAACTTGGACCAACAGCAATGTGAACACTGAGGCATCATGATGTCCTCGTTGTATAATCTGTACGCACAGCACATTAGACAGTCATAGTCTTGACAAAGACACTTTGCCATGGGGTGTTAGTGATGCATCGTACGAGGAACCGGCACTTCAGTTTCACTGACAGTTCCTGCAAGAAAAGACCTGATGACTAATAGTGAAGATGCTGAACTGGTATCCTTCAGAGCTGGTCAGACAGCTGCTCTGTCTGCCTATCTGAAAAGCTGATTTGAAAGAAGCGCTGTGAAATGCTAAAGAAAAGAGATTTGGAATATTTTTTCCACTGGAATTATGTTGCCTAGTATTATAAATTCTAGTCTTGATAAGCCAACTAAATTGAGCAATCCACAGAAAATACATTTCTTCCCATGTGAAATACAGAAATATTATCTTTAATAGAAAAACATTTGTGCATTCCTAATTTTTCTTGCATTGTTATCTAAAGGTTGATTTGATTTTAGTGTAAAGGATTTTCCACAGCAGCTCATAATCCATCTGAATTTCATGAATAGGAAATTAAGCTAAAATCCATTTCTCACTGAAAATTTAAAAAAGCCCCCACCCATCAAAGCATTGTTGTCCATTTGGTGAGCACCTGCAGATAGTGAAGTGTCCTTGGATTATTTTATGTGGGGGACAGGCTGATCTATGATGACGAATATCTAGTTGCTCTCAAGATCTTAGTGAACTGAATTTATAACAGGACATTGAGGACATTTGTACTCGTAAGCATAGTGAGCATGAAAGCTACTGTATTTAGTTATTCCAGAGTATTTCTACTAATTTATTTATACCTTCATTATAGTGTTCAACTTTCAGATAGAATCTCTACATCCCTCCAGAATCCTAAAAACCTTGGCTTTTATGTTATTTGTACATTTACTCTTTTTCTTGGAGTAATCTGAAAAAAATCAGAAAGCTGATGCCAAACAGGATGTACTGAATGTATCAGCTGATGAAGCAAGGCATATCTTCTATGTCAAACATATTTTTCTTCTATTGCAGTGTTCATTTTTGCCTAAATTCTCCATTCATATAGAGACAAAATATGAGGACAACAAAGGAAGCAATGACAGTGTAAGTATGATGGCTTTTGCAGAATTTTCTTTATTCCTTCTGGTTAATCACATTCTGTATCTGGGGGTTGTAGGTCTGGGTGTCCTGTTCATTAGCAGCTTGACAGTTTGCAGAGTAATTACCTCTAAAGCACCAAGAGATGAAACATTCATATTCACAACTTCCCTTCCACATCTCACGTTCTACCTGTTGCTTCTCTAAACACAACATAATTTACAAATGGGAATTTAGTCCTGATGATCGTTTATGGAGAGGAAAGAAAAGGTTTCTCTTCTTTTCTGGTGTGGTTGTGTTCCACTTGATCTGTTTCACATGATTCTCTCTGAGTGAAGGGGCTGGGATTCACAGGAGCCGTGCGGGAAGAGCAAACAGGAAACTGAACAATGGGCAGAGAGGAGAGATCTCAGTAAACAGCTTGGAGGGAACAATGGCTGGACTGTGGAGGTGATGCTTTTGGCAATCCCTTACCCAAAGTTAAAAAGTTCTCAGAGTTAGAGTGTAGAGATGAAAAGGATAATTAACCATGGCAGATCCTCTAGAGGAAGGGTGGGAGGGAGCAGCCAGCAGCTGCTGCTGGGGAGATGCGCAGGAATAGAGGCAGGAGGTCAGCCAGGCTCTTGCCCTGCCAGGGAGCAAAGCAATCAGACAACTTGTAAGAAAAGAGTGACGTTCGGTAAAGCCAGGCACGTAAAGATTCAACTCTGGAATTAATACACAAATATGTTTAGGTAAGTTTCATTTTGGTATGGTTTAAACAGCTGTTTGTTGCAGGCTTACGGGAAGGAGTTTCTTACAGGCGTGAAATACAGGTTAAAGCGTCTGGAAAATTGATCTGCAACACACAGACCTAATGACGGAGGTTTAAATGCATTCTTGAGAAAGAAGGAGGCAGTAAAGCAGATTTCAAGGGGTCTGAGAAACAGCCTTTTGGTTTCCAGGGCTGTCCCTCTGGCAGCCTTATTAAGGTGAAAGTGTTCTGCTCTCCAGATGGGAGGTGCATTTCCCCAACCGCCTTGGGCCCGCGCGTCAATAAGGCTGACAGCTGCTGCGCTCCTGATGGCAGAATAATTACATGGAAAAGAACAAGGTATAATTTTGAATAATGCTTTTGGCATACAGACACTTTCCCAACGGGAACATGACAGAGATCATGTATTAGCCACAAGATACCAACAACTTTCAGTTACTGTTAGTCTAAGCCAGATCCAGATAACTGAGAGAGGAAAAAAAAAGCAGTGTATTACATTACCAACTCTGTGAGCATTATGTAATTTATGCACTTTTTAATGTTCGCTTCTGCTTTTTGGCAGCACTTTAATTCAGAGCATGCCCACACCTTTGGTTTCGGGAGGGTGCAGACTAATTTTCTGGTACATTATAATGTCGGCAGTGAGAAGACACGTTTTGTACTGATGCCTAACAGAGGGAGAACTGAAGCTATTTAATCACTGAATTTTCAGGTTTTTTCTGTGTGTCAGCTTTGTGGCTAAAATACTATGAATCAAGCCCTGAATAGTACCCAAGCAGTGGATTTAAGATGAAAGTAACACGCAGGTAGGATACTTAGATGATATAAATCAAAGAATTTCTACTCTGTGTGAATCCAGCTCTTCAAATGTAATTTTTTACGGGAGTGCCAGTGGGGTAATATTCTATTACCTTTATACCGAGGTACCGAGTCACAGACTAGGCGAGTATTTACCAAGATTAACAGATTTAATTGACCCTTACTTGAACTGAGGGGGAGAAAGAGAAGCTGAATTAGAGGGCGGCACTCCAGCCCTGATTTCCATGATTTGGTAATTCTGAGAGCTGTGCTATTCACTAGTGGGAACACAATAAACCGGTGGAAGATCTACGGTCTTTGCTGTTGATCCAGTGATATTGATCTGGTCACGCAGACGTGGCTGGTGCAGCGCTGAAATGCTGGAAGGTTAGTAAATACAGAGAGACGTGATTGAGCCTGTGCAGAGACTTCTGTTAAACCAAACACCTCGGAACTAGGACTAAGAGTTTAACTTGTTTCTATTACTCAGTGGGTAGGGTTAAACCTCACTTAAGAAAATGCAAAGTGTATTTCTCCTTCATATCAGACAAGTTTAGATTAAATTTCACTGTTTGCCCACTCAGAAAATGACAGGAAACATAGCACCCATTTCTGTAGATTTCCATAGATATACTATATTTTTCTTCATTGCAACTATCAACCTTGGATGATGAAGAAATAATTAATCCAAAAAATATTTCTGTAAATTTTGCAGTAGTAACACAAAATATACTGAATTATTATTAATACTACAGTAATGAGGGTAATAATGCATGTCTGAATTTAACTAAACCATTTCTAGATACATTTCTTGAGGTCAGACAGGTTTTTTGAAATCTTTGAACTCTGACCTATTCTTAATTTCCACACTGTCTAATACAGTAGATATTGATTGTAAAAAGCAATAATTAGATATAAGGATACTAAAGCTAATTCCATTGATTAGTGGAAGAAAGCAATATAAATGCTCTTGGGTTCCTGTTGTCATTTAGCAGGCTAGTATATAATTACAGTTATTTTATTTAACATGTTGCATTGTCTGGTAAAATTCTACCTAATTATTGTAATATATCTTGATGCAAAAGTCCTCCTGGTTTTTCTTCCCAATTGTCATGCTAGAAGAAACTAGCGGAAGATAATGACATCTGCTCTGGAACATTTTTCTGTGTTTTAGACTTTGTCGTCTTTTTAACGTATTTTAAAGGTGGTTAGAGCACCGTTGTTCCGCTCGGTTAAAGTTTGCACTTGATTTGCACAAATTCAAACATTGCCAGAAAGAATGATGGACAATGGACCCCTTTTTAGATAAACCACTAAGGATGCTTGTGGAGGCGGTAGTAGTGCGGTACCGTGAATCCATCCAGGTGTGAGTTCTAGGGTGCAGCGCAGCTGATTTTGCTGTATCGCATCTAGATGTTCACATGGCAACTCTCTCCTTAGAAAAACAGAATCAGTGTTGGATGAGCATGTTCGTACATCAGATATTGTCACTGCTACCTCGCAGCTTTATCACATCGTTAGTGTTGGAAACTAGACCAGTGAGTCAGGCCATCCGCCGTTTCCTCTTACAGGTCTTTTAAAAAGTAAACTTCTTAGTTTAAAGAGTAGTTTTATTTTTATTATCTTTTAAATTACAAGATGGAAATGACACTCCAGCTGGTATCTGTAAAGTACATGAAGATATTGCTTCCTTGTTCCATCCTTAGCTGCTTACCTAAGTCAGGGTTGCAGCGGGAGGTGCGGGTGCCTACAACAGAGCTTCAGTGAACCCAAGGTATCAAAGTGAATATTAATCACTCGGTGCACACTTTTTTTCCCCATAAGGAAAATTAGCAATTAGGGAAGTTGAATATAGATACACAAAGTCTGTATTTTGAATATTAAAACCATAAGTTAAATACAAGAGAATTCTTGAACTTATCTAATTCATGAAGTGGTCAGAAATCACAGGCAGGAGTGGTGTAAGTTGCTGCTTGTTTGTGAATGAATGATTACTCTGCGGTTTTCATGAGGAGACTTTGTTAACACCTTTTTTATTTGGGCAGATATTGTTCTATTTTAACAGACTACTGATTGGTCAGTATTTCTGTCACAGAAGGCTGACTTTATTCTAAATGGTGCATTGCTCTCCCTTTTCTCCCATCTCATTTCTTACAATTTCAGTGTCCATTACAGACAGACGTGTTGGTTATCTCTAATTCTAGTGGAAAATGCACCAACTTGGGCTTCCTGTTGATTACAACGGACCCACCCCATGGCTGCAGTACAGACTGCAGTTGGCACACGATGATTTTGTGCGTTGCAGTTCCATGTCTGTTCTTGCACGCCACAGTCTAGTCCTGGTGAAAACGTCTAAACAGCAGTGTGCAGCTGCGGGCAGAGGAAAGGTAAAGTGAAGGCAGAGGCTGTCCCAGCAAATCCCTGCATCACAGAGACATTTCCGTTCTCCTGTTTGTTGCAGAAGGATCATGATGTTTGGCTGGTTTTTGTTGGTTTGTTTTGGTTTTTAGTCACAGAATTGATTTCTCTGGATATTTGGGCAGTGAATTTTTGCCATCTGGTATCGTCTGGGGACAGTCAAACAGTACAGTTTGTAAAAATAATCCAATAGTTGTCAGGAATGGAAATTCACTGTGTGTCACAGCGCCTTGCTCTCTGTAGCGTAATGTTTTGCTCTGGAAAACTCAGTGGCTGGAGCTTGGTGATAACATGCAAGATCTTAAAATAGCAGAGTCGTCTTTTCATTAGAGGGCCGTGATGTTTATTAGCCAGAGTAGCATAATTCTTAAGGGTCATGAAGGCGTGGAGTAAAGATTTCGAGGCAGAGTCGTATTTCAAGATGACAAAGTATGGCTGTCATTGGGCACGGTTCGTAAGTGTATGTCTCAGTAATGCTGATAAAGTCATCAGAGCAACAGCACTAATTTTTTGTCAATCAAGAGAAAAATATATTATCACCATGTTTCTTGCCCTTCAAAGATAATATAGTGTTGAAAACGCATGTCTCAGGATGACCATGTGCCAAATGAAAGCAAGAGGTACTTCTGCATTTCGTATAGCGATAAATTAACACCGTTACCATCTGACACATCAATGGCTTGAGCACACTAAAACCAGCCAGCTGCCAGCAGGTGTTTGATAGGCAGCTATGGAAATTGCAGTGCCGTCATTTAAAGTTAGAAAATCCTTTCCTGAGAGCGAGTTCTAATTCTGCAGCCTTACAAACGGCTGAGTATACACTGTTGGATCATCCGTCGTGCTTCATCCTTAGTGTGTATTTCTATAGTGTTGGTTGTGAAATATTTGACAAAAGTAAAATAAATTTTGGGTATGGCCAGATAGGAAGAGAAGCCATTTCTAGTTTTGCTTTTTTTAGGGTGGGGTTTTTTCCCCTATTTTTGTCTCCTGTCTTAGCAACATGGAACTAGGTTGTCACAAATAGCACATGTAAATT